TTCCTTCCCAATCCGATTTAAACTAGTCAATTTCGAGCTTTTAAAATTTATTCCTGATTTTACTAAAATATATTCTTGTCAACTACATATATATATTTTGTTATTAATTGTGTATTGTTTATATTTTAAATTTAATTATTTAAATAAAGTTAAATTTTACCCAATCTAAGCCAAATTTTTTTTATGATATAGGTACATTTGATGTACTATACATAATATTTTGCATGAATAGCAAATGATAATAAATTATACGGAGTACTTTTATATATAAGCACAGGTCTTGAGAAATCTCCAGGGGATGCTGGGAATCAGATTTTAGTCCCAGGGCGAACTTGATTGTCTTATTGTTTTAACAGAGAATCTGTAACTGATATTTCTTATTCGTATAACACCTACGAAATTAAGCTTACTCAATATTTGAATACTATATACGCAGAGTTAATAGTATTTCATTAATAAATCTTATTATTGGTAGTATTAAGGCAAGTTGAATGAGAAAGAGAACAGCCTTTGTATATAGTAACTATGTAAATTAGTTTTTATAATATGATGTATATTTCATTAACTGTTTTGCTTTAAAAAGATTTTTAATTTTATATAATTTGTCATAGTGATACATTTTAAATATCTTTCTTTAGACACTTTATTAAAAAAATTTATAGAATTATTTAAGATGGTATATTTTATAGCAAGACGAAAAATTATTTCTCATTTGTTGTAGTATTTCTTTAATGAAAGTGATATATAAAAAAATTGTTTAATAATATAATCGTAGAATTGAAACCTATAATTATTTATGTATTTGTTCAACAGGAATAAACTATATAATATTTTGACATCTCATCAGGAGTTAATGTAGTTTTTTAAAATAATTAAATTCGCGTTGTAATACGAGAATATTAGTTCCAATGGTATGAAATTCTCTGTATCATTGATATATATGGAAAGATTCTCTATATGTATAAATACCTTCACCAGGAATGTTTTTTTAAAGGTCATGTGACATCAATATTATAGAACTTCATAGGTCATAAGAATTCATCTCCTTCATTATCTCCAATTTGATTCATCTACGTAAATATAACTACAAAAATTATATTATTTTTAAATCAAAAATAACCCTCTGAAAATATTTAAATACAAGCTTACAGTCTTTTGTTTCTTTATACGTAAATACTTCATTTTATACGTACATAGTTATCTTTATGTATATAATTCTTCTGTGAGTATGTATGTCACTGAACTTCTCTCAAACGACTGGACCGATTTTGATAAAAAAAATTGTGTGTGTTCAAGGGGATCTGGGAACGGTTTAGATTCACAATTTTGTCCGCTGGACAATGTTTTTTTAATATTTTTTTTATTTATTAGTAGTTATTGATACAAACGTTATTTTTTTACATTAGATTTGACAACTAACTAATATGTCAATCATTCTGTTGCAATGAAAATAAAATAAATGCAATATATAATTGTCATAAAGAATAAATAAAATCTATTATAATTGCAACCTCTTTATCATACATAGTTTTTTAACTTTAATGTTAGTTAATCTATTATATACTTACATTTATATATATAACAGGTAAATAACATTAGTGTGTGCATTCAGGACGTCGCCCCAGTTACAGAGGCTGATCGATCCGCTGATATAGGTCAGCGGGGAGAGTGCACGGTTTAGGATTATTGAGGGTAGATCTAAAAATATGTGTACCTTAAACTACCCTCTATATAATGTGTTAGGTATGGAGGATGTGTGAAAAGTATGAATTTGTTTTGAGGGTAGATTGAAAAATATGTATATTTAAACTAGAATTTTTATTAAACAATATTATATTAATTTTAAATTTTAATGTTTTTCGTTGGAAAATTGCGTTGCATTAAGGATATTTGAAATATCTTAAGATGTACCAATTGCTGTAGTATTTTCTTATACCTAAATAAGTTTTCTATCTATTCTGCTTGTCATTGCTTTTTGCCAAATTTTCGTGATTCCCAAACTAATGAAAGATCCTTTTAAATTTCCTTGTCAGCTTCAAATTGGATACATAACTTATTTCTCACTCGCTCACACTCATTCAGGTTTGCTTTGACAAGTTTGTCAAAGAATTTATCATTGAACGATAGAAAATACTATCGTTACATATATTTACTCTAAAACCTCTGAATAAGTAAGAATAGTATACCAATATGTAATAACTAGCTTTCCGCAGGCAGCTTCGCCCGCGTGGAGTTCGGTTATATCGCGTTTCCAAGAGAACCTTTCAAAAGTCTGGGATAAAAACTATCCTATGTTCTTTCTCAAGGACAACTCTATATGGACCAAATTTCATTAGAATCAGTTCAGTGGTTTAGGCGTGAAAGCGTAACAGACAAACAGAGTTACTTTCGCATTTATAATATTAGTAGGGATAGTGTGTAACTTGCTTGGACGAAATTGGCGTTTTATCAGAAATTTTCAGTGTGTCATTGTTCCATACTTTTTTGTAATATTATTGGTAGTGTATTGGTGACTTGTTAAGAAAATCACATGATTGTTAACAAATATTTGTAATTTAGTTCCATTTATTTGGGAGTTATAGATAAAATATATGTGAATTTACATATTTAGGTCATCTTATTAAGATTTCATGATAAAATCAATCACAGAAAGCCCAGCCCAGAAAAAACTTTGCATAATGTATTGAAAAATTAGAAATTAACGCGAATTCTGGGCCATAAAGAGAATATATCCAAAAAAATCCTTCCTTAATAAGAGTCGGGTGAATAGAGATCTGGTTAATTAGGAGGAGGAATATTATTTAAAATTATCATTGATTTTGATGATTGTCGCTAAGTTTTATATAAGCTTTGACCATCGAATTTCTTTAAACTTGTGTTCAACATGCTTTACTTAAATGAAACTAATATTTTTTCGCATAATTACGTATTTTTTTAATTATAAACTACATACTCCCGAAGTTTCGGTTACTTTGCAGCAACCGTGATCATTAAGACGAGAAGTGTCTTATTTTCTGTTTTTTTGGTTCCTAGTTTGTGAATGGAGTAATAGGATTTTCTGCAGCACTTATTGTCTTTACCTACGTTATTGATCCTAATATCTGTGATATTATGAAATAAAATCAGTTATATATATGAATCATTTACTGCAATTTCAAATTATGTCGTGTTTAACAATCATTATACAGAAATAGAATTAGTATTATTGTTTTTGTTAAAGTTTAAGAACTATTATATGTGTCGCTTTTTATATAAGAGTAAGTATTGTTATTTTTGTTATAATACTTAAATATTTTAATAGATATACATATATAAATAATATAATGAATATTTATTTCTACATGGTAGTTAAACATCTGGATTCTGTTTGAATAAAGTGTTTTTTTCATAAAAATTGGCTATATTCATACTTTATTTTAAAGGGGAAAATTTCCTGAGGACTTCATGATTCAATAACAATTGAGCTATATAATATATATACCAGCAGATAATACTACTCTATATACTCTTTCTCACCATCTATTAATATTTAAAGTTGTATACATTTCGGTCCAGCTCGAGCCGATATAATAAAATTTGTTCCGTATTTTGTCATCGTGATCAACAAACATACATACAATATTTCAACACTTTAATATAAGCGAGACTAATAGGTTTAAACATTAGCCGTGTGTAAGAATGTACATTTGATGTTTCTTTAAAACCGTGAAAGTGCTTTAATGTACTGATTTTATTAAACTTCTGTAAAATGAGTTTTAATTCCATCTATAAATCAATAGATTTGACTGTTTTTTTTATGGTATATTTAGAACCAGAAAGAATTTGATTAAATATTTTGGTGAGTTCCAAACTAACATTAAAATTGCAAAATCTTATGAGATTTTCTTTGAAATCTCCTGTTACATATGTTTGTAAAATGCCTATCATAATATAATCATTCTTTCATTATGGTTGTCGTGACAGCGTTGAATCATAAGTAAACTTGCCACGGGGTCAAGGACGTTCGAACGGTTATATGATTATTGATAAGAACGTCTAAGGTCATTGACATCTACGTGTTTCCGGTTCCGATATTTTTTTTTGATCGACCGCATGCCTTTTTTATCATGTAAACAGAATTCCTGAATGGTTATTATACTTGGATAGAAAAATTATGTATAGAATGAAACTTATTTTTTTTAAAGGAACTTTTGCCAAATAAGACCATGTGTGGATGATTTATTCGTCTTCATTTGACATATTTGCACGAATAACACATACACAAATAAGCGAAAACGTATAGACGTGTTGTTGTGATGCCAAGTGTGGATGTAGTGTTTGCGCTATTTGAACTACGTACAAATATTTGGACAAATGCGGCGAATACGCAATACCAAGTGAAGTGCCACCTTAATGAATGAGCAGTGACTTTTATTTTGTGAAGTACATATATGTATTGTATTTACGTTTCTTCATTCCATTGGTTCCGATGAACCCTTAATACGAGTTTGCATCCTCAAACTACACACGGACGGTTCGTAGTATTTTGTAAATTAATTTTTTACGTGTAATTTTAAAATCCTTAATGGATATTCATATAGAAATATGAGTGAATGTTTGTAGGCATTTGACAAACAAATCTGTGACCATTTTGTTATAAAATAGCTTTCCGCCCGCAGCTTCGCCTGCTTGGAGTTCGGTTATATCGCGTTTCCAAGAGAACTTTTCAAAAGTCTTGGATAAAAACTACCCTATGTTCTTTCTCAAGGTCAACTCTATGTTTGTACCAAATTTCATTAAAATCAGTTCAGTGGTTACAATTTATTAATTAATTAAATAATGTTTTACTTACAGTAAGTGTACATATAACTAGGTTTGAACAATTATTTTTGGGTCACAAACAGATTTAATTTATCTAGTTTTAATCCGGAAATCCACTTTGAAATCAGTGAATATTATCTCTTTTTGATAATATCGATTGTACTGAAGATTCGTCAATAATTTATAATATTTTTTTCCAGATGTATGGCGTCCAGGTGAAGAATTTGAAACAGGTCGTGCTGGAAGCAAAGATGATAACTGTGGACGGCCGGGTCATACCATACTCAATAAAGAAACTCAAGATTAAGAAGAAATCGAGCTTAAAGAAACTCCCTGTGTGGGAGATTTGAAGCTTTAAGAATAATAATAGTTGCCTTCCCTAGATTCTGGTCCAAGATATTATATCCATGTTAGTTGTAGATTTATACATATTAAATATTTCTACTCTACTCGTATAAGGTTCGTATCCAATGTTTTTTCGTCTAAAATGTTTGTTTTATTTAGTTTTCATAAAATGTCAACAGCCAAGTTTTTTTGACAAACTTTAGGTTTATTTGTCTGGGTTGCAAAGTTATTCTTTCTGAATGTTTCTTTTGTGAAATTGTTCTTCCACTATAAGTCTTCTCTGTTAAATGTTTTGTTCAACTTTTTGGAGATTCAAAAGTTTAGATCGAGGACGAAATTTTAAGTGAAAATATATGTAAATGGTATATAATGGTTGTTTTTAATTTAGATTAGTATTGTAATGGAGCAACCCGAAGTGGAGAAGGGCTGTGGCAGCTCGGAATACGGAGCACAACTTACAAGAAATAGAGTGAGTTTACATGTTGATAACTATGATTATTAAAGGCCCAGATAATGGACCATTTTCGTGTTATATACAAAGATTAAGGAATTTTTATTCAAAATCTATAGAAAAAAGGTAGTATCGTCTGATTTCAATGAGACTTTAATAGGTTTATCATGTTTTTAATCGCATTTCTCATGTCTTTGCCTGAACTTCTCATGGAATGGTCTATAAGTTCTCTTAACGAATACCTAGATTGAAAAATTGATGGACATTGGTGTGATAGAATATTCTTACACGCTTTATAAATGCCTTGCACAGTAAATAAAAAATCTATTGCCAAATATCACAGAACAATAATAATATTAAAATAAACCCTAACACATTCATTAACATTCCACTATTATACTATGTAGTAAGCGATAAGCACTTAGTAATTATTTGTGAAAAATGCCTATATATTTATGTAATTTAGTCAAAATTCTTCTACTGCCGAAAAATATTAACCAAATATAACTAAGAACAACGAAAAATAAAAACTTTTTGTTAAAAAAAACCGCATCGAAGTCGGTAGATCTGACAGCTCAATACAAAATTAGTTTATTCTGAAACCATCAATCCCCTTAATCTTGGTACAGATCGTTGTTTATTCATCAATAATAATTTTGGTGCTTTAAATATTACAATAGAATCTTCATCTTTCACCATCATAGAAACTTCTGCCTATAAACCAATGCGTTCATCTTCCAGAGTTTCAAATCGAAGCAACTAGTCCGAAGTCAAGCGATACGTGAATCAACGTCGCCGCCACGAACAGTTTCACCGTTAACGAACGAAACTCACGTGAACAATGAAAACACGCTCGAGAAGACTTCAAACAGTGAAAACTCTAGTCACACCGACGGATGTACTGTTATCAGTAGTGATAACAAACAACCGGTTGAAATACAGGTGAGAAATATATGACTACCCTAAAATATAGGGATATTTGAGGGTAATGCGAAAGTAACTCTGTCTGTTTGTTACGCTTTCACGCCTAAACCACTGAACTGATTTTAATGAAATTTGGTACAGACATAGAGTTGACCTTGAGAAAGAACATAGGATAGTTTTTATCCCAGACTTGAAAGGTTCTCTTGGAAACGCGATATAACCGAACTCCAAGCGGGCGAAGCTGCGAGCGGAAAGCTAGTAGCTCATGATATGCTGGTGTTTAATTTACAGATAACGTCCAACTCGTGGGAAGAAGGTGCAAGTGACCAGCGTCAGCGGACCCGTCGCTGGCTTGGTCACAGACACCATTCGGATTCAACCAGAGACCTTCTGACCCACGGGCCGAGGGTCGCCTGCGTCTGTGGGGCCTGCGAGTGTCCACATTGCAGGTAACATATATATACTAGAAGACCTGGCGAACTTCGTATCGCCCTATAATCAAGAAATATCTGTTACGTTTCTTTATTTATATTTTTGGAGTTTACCTATTAAAGCCATAAATATCCGTGTTTTGAAGTGCGACAGAATGATTGACATATTAGTTTGTTGTCAAATCTAATGTCAAAAAAAACGTTTGTATCAACAACTACTAATACCCTTTCGAACCCGCGCCCTCGTGCATGAAAGGCAGACCTTTAACCTTTAGGTCACCACGACTTTACATATATAGGTGACCTAATAACTATAAATAATATAGTAGAATCTATTCTATATATACATACTATAGGTTAAGTCTTTCTATCTTTATTTTCGGTTGTATTCAATACTGACTTCTATAATATATAATCTATGGAAGAATTTTAACTTTTGTCTAATTTAATTCAATATTTTCATACATTCTTAGATTATAAAATATCCACTGATGATGAATTCCATATAAAGTTATCCAAGAATTCTCCTCTGAACGATCATCGATATGTAAAATATTATATTGATACTATTTAAAGGTCTGTATTAAAACAATACCAAGACAAGTTTCTTTCGGTCTAAATCTTTTGTTATATAAGCAAAAATTTTCTATTAATATTTTCATTATAGTTATCTTACATACTATTTATATTTTCAGAGGTCGCAGAAGAAGACACGCGTGTCCAACGAAACAGGATTCTGGCATTGTCTGTTCAGACGACTGTCCTGATTGTACGGACTCAGAACATGCGGGTAGATTCATACTCTATAAATATTATTTCATTATTCAGTTATATATTTAACACAAATGTTGATTTAACTTCATAGTATTGTGTAAAAGTCATTTTCATGGTTTGAAGTTATTGCTTGAGAATATTTAATCAAAATAATGATATTATATCAGATTATGCAGTGAAATACTTTCATAGAAGATAATAGAGAAGAATTTGTAATGATATCTCTATTACCTTTTATTCTATTTGCTTTTAAATCTAATATATATCTATAGAAATAAGTATGCAAAAACGGATTTATTCCTTACATAGATAAATGATGTATCCCATATAACTATAGATTTTGTATAATAATAAGCTTATAATATTTTAAATTTCGGTAATTTTATAATTAATTCTAAGCATTCATAATGTTTCTCTATTACTTATAGTCCAGATTTTTATATAGTTATAATTTAGTACTCTTATCTTATCTCTCTATCTATATTATTTTTATTATTTTCCTATCAGGTCCCAATGGTGACGGTGCTAGGATGTCTGGAAGTCTTGACAGTGATGACCAGGCATATTACTGCAGGTATTTAAATGACTTGACCTGGATATGACTTGACCTCGACATGACTTGACCTGGATATTTCCAGCAGTTGGTCAACATTATAAGAGTCATCCTTATATTTCCAGATGTATCGATCGCAAGGACAAGCCAAAGAGTATATCCATAGGTGGCAATGAATTTGGTGAGTAATATATTAATATTTATAACCGACTTCAAAATAAAGATATTCTGATTATTGTAATATCTATATATAATATTATGTATTTATATATTAAATGACTTAGTTAATTAGAAATAACTATAATAATAATAATAATAATAATAATAATAATATTTATTTGCTAAGAATGCAGGTACAGAATAAAGGTGTATATGTCATAGTGTACATACAAAATAAATAATTCTATCACAAAATCAAGCAATCTTATTATTATATATCGCAACTTTATTTTTATAAAACACTACATACCCCCGACGTGAATTTCATTCTCATCTCGTCTTAATGATCACGGTTGCTGTAAAGTAGCCGAAACGTAGTATAATCTGAAAAATATTAGTTTCATTTAAATGAATAAAACTCGCAAAAATCTTAGATCTCATTACTATTAATCTTTTTACTCTATAATTATATTCTCTTCATTCCAGAAGATAAAACAGATTTATCAGGTCCGGAGCTGGTGGCATTCATCAAGGAAACATTGAACAAGAATCCAAGAGATCGAGCAACTTTATTGAGGATTGAAAAGGAATTACACGGTCTAGTTACAGACAATAGGTAATAAGAATTGTATACAATATTAAGACGTTATAGCTCAGTTGATGAAAGGTGAAAGATATAATAGTAGCAGGTTCGAAACCTGACATGTAACACTTGACATATATGTATAGTTAGATTTAAGCTGAGCTTTACATTTGTGTGAGTGAATAAAAGTAGAGTTAGACAGAAAAGTTTTAGAATTCAATTTTACTATAATTTAAATACATACATAAGTGCGAGAGTTAATCTAGATTAAAAATAAAATAAGCAAAACTTGTTAAAGGCCAGATGGAAATATTATGGAGAAAATAAAATTTTGAAAATATAATATAAATTTTTCTTCACTTGTCATTGCGTTTTCAATATTTGAAGTTGCTACCAGTACAAAGGGTGAAGTGAAAGCAGAATAAACTGGTTAAAAACTAGAAAAGAACGTGGCATCCAAAAATTTGACATCACACCTACACTATCCGTGTGCACTCACACAAATGCAAAGCTCAGCTTAAATGAAACACACTATATAACTATACATATAATAATTATTGATATATTTTATATAAATGTAACTCAATAACTAAATGTATTATCATGAATCTAGATTTAATTAAGGTCATTCTTAAATGGTCATCCATACAAACTCAGTATAAAAAAAATCATCATAGATTTCATTCATCATTTAGTAATAATTATTAACATTAACATAACTTCATATTCATCACTCCTATTAAATATCCAAGTAATTGTGATGTCTATCTGGCCTTGCAAGTACCAATGTGATTTTTCCGAGTCATATATACTTTTAAGAGTATTTAGACATCACTGATTAATGCATTCCCAACTCGGATTGATGTCAGGCTACCGGTCGTAAAAACATAGCCTAAACTATTTACATGTAAGGCAGACCCTGGCTATAGTTGGGAAATATCCAAGTAATAGTGATGTATATTTATTATCACTGTTCACCGGTATATCACTAACCATGTCATCATTCTATCAGAGCCTTCTGCTAAGCTGCCTCTTCTCACATGGAGAAGGTTTGAGCATTAATCACCACACTCGCTCAAGACGGGTTGGTGATTTCAAACTTATAATTGTGAAACTATAAGTCCAGGTTTCCTCACGATGTTTTCATTCACCTTATGTCAGTGATGTCTAAATACTCTCAGAATGTACATATGACTCCGAAAAATCACATTGGTACTTGCCAGGTTTGAACCCGCGCCCTCGGCAACGAGAGGCGGGCCCCTTAACCACTAGGCCGCCACTAACTATCATTATCATATCATTATTATGACTACTAGCGCCCTCCCCAGTCGTTGCATTGTCCGCTTCCCGGTGATGACGTCATACGGCCGTATGCTGGTGCATCGGTGCGCAGCGCTCTTCCAACTAGCCCACCATCTCGACCACTCAAACAAGAACTCTGTGTTGGTATCAAAAAGCGGTAAGTAAGGTTCTTTATATTTTTGTGTCTTTACATGGAAATATAGTAGATTGTATGAAATATCTTTTATATTAAAAACTATATTCCAGAAAGTAAATTTCTGATTTCATTGAAGAGATCTCCTGTCAGAGATAAGTTATATCCCATTGTACACATCTGTTATTAAATAATTCACTGTATACTCTGTTGGTACAAAAATAAATAAATAAATTGTTCATATCTATTAATTCTTATATTGTGTAGTCCAGAATGACACTAAATCTCGGATAAATAATGTCGTCCAAAGAATAATAGGTGATCTATTTGCAAAGAACTGTAATATAAGGGTCCTTTCACACTTGTAGTGTATTCTAAGGCTCGTTTCACACTGTCTAGGTACGTGTGGAGGTCGCCTGCCCTGTACGTCGTTCCGTGAGTGGTGCACTACTGTGTTCCCGAGATCACCCACACATGAAGACACACTTGCCAAGTAAAAACACGATTATTCACTAATATTATAAATGCGAAAGTAACTCTGTCTGTCTGTTAAGCTTTAACGCCTAAACCACTGAACTGATTTTAATGAAATTTGGTACAGATATAGAAGTGACCTTGAGAAAGAACATAGGATAGTTTTTATCTCAGACTTGTGAAAGGTTCTCTTGGAAACGCGATATAAACGAAATACACGCGGGCAAAGCTGTTTCCTTATAAAACTTAGTAGATAGCACTTTTTAACCTGTATATATATTTAGGCATCACAGAATTTATGTGAACCGAACCTTTAAATTCCCGAACGCATTCGTAGTGACGTTAAAGCGATGACGTTTGGTTAGTTCACTTTTGCGCGGGAAAATATTTTGACGCGATTTGTGTCATTGTAAATCGAATATAACTTATTTAAGGTGTTATGGCTTAAGATAATAATTAATTCGTTCTAGTTAAAGTTTGATGTTATTTAAAAGTAATGTGTACAAGACAACTATATTTTTTACGATTTTATTAGACTTCTAAATATACAGAGTGACTGGTGAATTACTATCAATATTTAAGGAGCATACTCGGTACATGATTCTCATTCGAATTATGTAAAAAAAAATAGGTACTTAATTTTTGACCAAATTTCCGTATAAATAAATAAAGTGTGTACACGTTCCAAGAGCTCCAAGTGTGGACGCGTGCGGCGGCGTGCTGATACAACAACACGCCGCCGCGCGCGAGTGTGTTTGTGTGTACCTAACCTGTATACCTAACCTGTAGGGTGTTCATACGATGCGTAATTAATTACATAACTTTTGGTTAACTTTACTTAGAAGTTTATTAATATTTATGTTATATTAATTTTTATTTTGTCATATATGATCGTCAAATATCACGTCCTCAAATATCGATAGTAATTCACCAGTCACCCTGTATATGTAGGCTATGATAGTTTAATTAATAAATCAATTAAAATTCACAATTTCATCAGTAGCAGAATGAAATCCTACTTGTATCAAATCATTTTTGTTCATGTATAAAAACTATTTATTATTTTGTATATTTTCCAGGTCTATTTTAAAGCGTTGTTCTGGGCCACCTGGAACATCTAACTCTGCAGCGGGTAGAAGCAAGTCATTGGAACAAAGAGAGAGGGATTATGAAAGAGTTAGAAGAAGGATTTTCAGCACGGTGAGAATTATTATAACTTGTATATATATATACAGGGTGACTGGTGAATTACTATCGATATTTGAGGACGTGATATTTGACGATCATATATGACGAAATAAAAATTAATATAACATTAAATATTAATAAACTTCTAAGTAAAGTTAACCAAAAGTTGTGTAATTAATTACGCATCGTATGAACACCCTACAGATTACTCTACACTACACTCACACACATACGCGTGCGGCGGCGTGTTGTTGTATCAGCACGCCGCCGCACGCGTCCACACTAGGAACACTTGGAACGTGTACACACTTTATTTATTTATACGGAAATTTGGTCAAAAATTAAGTACCTATTTTTTTTACATAATTCGAATGAGAATCATGTACCGAGTATGCTCCTTAAATATTGATAGTAATTCACCAGTCACCCTGTATACCCGCGGATTTCCGGGTTGTAAAATAGCCTATGTGTTATTCCTCTACGTCAGCTTCCTGTATACAAGATTTTATCAGAATCGGTTCAGCCGTTTGAGCGTGAAGAAGTAACAAACATACACACACTCACAAACTTTCGCAATTATAATATTAGTATGATATCGTCGGGAATAGTGCAAATCCGCGTAGCTAAATTACCAGAAGAAAGTTTAAGCTGAAATACTTTCTGTATTAATGATTTTTAAGGTAATTTTTTCACAATTAGTATTTATTTAATGTTTAGTTTATTCTGATAATCTGCTTCCAATGTAGATACGCGGATTTTCACTATTCCCGACTATAGATATATGTATGTTACATATAATATTATGAACAAAACAGATAGCCATTGAAAGTCAACATATAAAAAATTCCAGAATATGTATTAATCATTCCTTCTATTAAATATTTTATATATCAAAGTCTCCTATATACATCTGAATCATATATAATAAACATGAATATATATTATGATATATAATATATATATATTTTAATATATTCCAGGATAATTGCACCCAGGATGAAACACAATGGCCGTGGCTGTCATCGGGACCTGTTAAATTACTAACACCGGATACTGGGAGGAATAAATTGTTGAAGGTATATAGAAGAAATGTACTATATATAGTACTTGATCAAAAAAATGATAGGGAACTTATGTATTAATATGTAATATATTTATATGTATTTTTTGTATATATTTCAACTTCAATTATCATTATTATGCATATTATTATTATGTCTCAGTGACTACATCATGTTAATGTACCAATAATTCATTAGTTATTAAAATTAATACATTATAATTTAGTTATACTGTTTTTTGTATGTATGTGTGTCACAGAAAACTATTGGATATATTACAATCAAAACTTATTTATTCGACACTTAGATCTTATCAAAATAATATTGCTTAATCTTCATTGAATATAATGCTATTAAAGTATTAATGAACAATTACATATAATAACTGTGATATTTTATTAAGCCAGTGGTGTTCTAGTGGTTAGAGGGTCCGCCTCTGGCCCGGGCAAGTGCCAGTGTTTTTTCCGAGTCATATGTACTTTCTAAGAGTATTTAGACATCACTGATTAATGCATTCCTAAAGAGGGTTGATATCATTCAGGCGGCCGGTCGTATAAACAATTAGCCAAAACTATTTACATGTAAGGCAGACCCTGACCCTGGGAAATTGCCAGGTAGAAGATATATGTATATATTATAACTGTTTGTTTGTCGTAGGTTCATTCCTTGGAGTCCAAATCTCCCGGTCGCGGCGTGGTGTCTAAAAGTCATAGCTTCGGAGGATACACGGACCCACAGCAAAGGGTGCTCAGTAGACAGGGTAATATATAATTTATACTAGCTGCGCACCGCGGTGTTACCTGATTTCCGGGATGTAATATAGCCTATGTGTAATTCCTGGACGTCAGCTTCCTGTATACAAAATTTTATCAGAATCGGTTCAGCCGTTTGAGCGTGAACAAGTAACAAACATACACATAATCACAAACTTTCGCAATTATAATATTAGTAGAATTATAATATGATGTGGTGATACAAATGATGATTGGAAGGAATGTCATGAATGTGTATCATATGTGTGAACGTGTATGGCCTCTGTGTGATCATTTGTCCAGTTTGTGATCATGTGTGTTGATTTTGTGATCATATCTTGTGTGTATGATGATACATGTCTTATGTGTGAACATGTGACACATATATATGTTGATATAAACGTTTTTTTGGCATTAGATTTGACAACTAACTAATATGTCAATCATTCTGTCGCACTTCAAAACACGGAGATTTATGGCTTTTAATAGGTAAACTCCAAAAATATAAATAATAAAACGTAACAGATATTTCTTGATTATAGGGCGACACGAAGTTCGCCGGGTATTCTAGTATATATACAACGTGTAACGTAATTAACGCACACTCTGAAAGTAGTTTGTTCAGAATCGGTATCTGGATCGATTTTTATAGTTTTTTATGTAGGTCATTTTTTTTTCTTAAATTTAGATAGAACTAAGTAAATTACAGTCATCCAACGCACGCAACACCAACAGCGACAGTCGGCACACATCAAATACCTACGCACGTGTCCATTGACCTCCTAGATCAGCTCATTTGACGCCACTCGCCTTTTTTGTGGGGTCGAATTAAAACGCTAGTTTATAACACAGAGACAACAAGTTTTCAGGAACTAAAAAATAAGATAATAACCGCCTTTCTAAAAGTGAAAAGTGACACTGCAGTATTATCTAAATTAAAACCACAATTGCGGAAACGGTCATTAAAATGCATTGAACAAGGCGGTAGACATTTTGAAAATGTTTTAAAACGACAACGCTGTGCGAGTGCAAATTAAACTATAAGTTTGTTTATGATCTTTAAATTATTGTTAATATTTTGATATTAACAACTCTTTGTATATTTATTCCAGGCGACCTCGCGTCTTCAAGCTGGCGTCTCTCTCCGTCAAGCTCCGGATACAAGACACTCAGTTTAAGAAGCACGGATTCGGTCACACCGTCACCTACAGGTTACTTTATTATATGAAAAATGATATACTAGCAAGCCTACTAGATTGAGATAGATTTTATAGGAATAGGGAGGGGTTGGAATAAGGAAAAGATAGACAAATGTAGGAACAAGTAAAGGGCAACTGTCTCTCTCACTCATCGGAAAAAACTTCGGATCTTCTGTGAGAGGGTGGTACTTCCACCGTCGAGACAGCCCATGTTACAGCTAGGCTCTACTACTCACAAAATATATACGTCTTATACTATATTATTATTTATTTAGCTCTTCTTTGTACACCACAATTACAATACAAACAATTACAGAAAAATACAAACTAAAAACTAATGATAAAACAAAAGGCGGCCTTATGGCTTATTAGTCATTTCTTCCAGATTACCTATATTATCTACACCGTTCATATATAATGTCTCATATAACATTAATAAAGAATTCTAAAATACCTATCATACTTAGTTAATTAAATTATCACCGATATAAATATATATATATATATATACTGTTTGTGTAATTAGTGTATACTACATACATACATTACTTGATGGAATTGGACGAAAATAATAATGGGTTACATTGATAGATTTATTAAGATGATATCACACAGTGCGAATAGTTGACATAAGAGATTATAATACAATCAGATTTCACATCCCGTAGTGCAATTAACAAAATTTTACAAAGTCTAGACCTATTTAGTGATTCATTTTATGTATTTAAACAAAAAAATATTGACTATTTTTTTTCTAAGTTAAAGTTTTCCTAAGTTTATATTGTAATATTTTTTATTTTATTTTGTGATTTTTGCGTAATATTTTAATTTTATCTTTAAATTAATATGTAAATTTTTTAATTTTGCACTGTTTATATTTAGTAAATGTTATGTACACTTGTCATTGACGTACATATCTGATGTTATAATATAGTCACTTTAACTGTCAATATTCAATATGTAATTTGTAAGTGGGCTTGCTGTAAATAAATAAATAGATTGACATATTGCGGCATAGACAATTAAGATAATTTATATGTTTGTTTCATACTAGTTCCAACATAAAATTATTATAATAATAATAATTATTATTATATTTGTTCTATAGGCGGTGCTAGTCCGGAGCCCGGGCCCCCTTCTCTATGTGTCCCGGGGGCCTCCGGGGCCCTCGTCTGGGCCGTCACTGATATGGCTGCCGTCCCGCCCGGGGCTTTAGTTATACATCCACAGGTAATTATATATACAGGGTGTATGAAAAACTGTGTCAACCCTTGAAGGCATGTATACATATAAGTATAAGCTTATTATAAAAAATAGTATAACTTAAAAAATATCAAGCAGAGGTCAGTTACAGTGCATAGGCTAAATAAGTTTTAAATCGACATTATTCGAAAAAATGTTCCAAACATCTGACTCATACAAGGTCAAGACACCATATAGTCGCAACGGCGCATGCGTGACCATTGACCGCAGGCGACGGGCCGAAGGCGTTATTATTACTACTTTGTTAGTTGTTCGAATAGAGATTTGAAAGTGTAAAAATTTGTTATATCGATAAATATTCTATCGACATTTTCAATAATACTATAAATAGTTATGCTTTTCACATTAAAATAATTTCATTTAAAGTAACTTTTATTTATAATAAATATTATAATTTGAAACTTGTTCAGGTAAATTAACTTCATATGTTGTATTATTAGGATAAATCGTTTATCTATTTCTGTTAAAAATGGTGTTTTACAATCAAACATAATATTAATGTTTGATATATCAAAATAAGTATCAAAATAATATGAATATTAAATATTTATTTATTGTTATGATTTTTAAATATCGATATTTTCAATAATGTGGAAGTAACTTCAAGGTCACTAGTAGCGCAGCAGCTGTGATGACGTCATTGCGTGTCATCCTGTTATACCAGGGCTTACAAACATTTTGTTACTCTACATATAATAATCCTTTAATATTTAATTTTATTATTTTTATTGAAGAGTTTGTAAATGTAAGTTGTTTTATTGTGTTACATTTTTGATACTGATAATGTAGTTAAGAGGGTTGACACAGTTTTTCATACACCCTGTATATATAAACTCGTTTTGCTAGCCTTTTTAGTGTCATTGATTTAATTAGAAAGAAAACAAAGTATTATTATTGAATCCTAATACATTATATTGTTAAGAATCTCACTAGGACAAGAGACGGTACCTCTAAGAATAAATTCAACGTGCCGATGCCAGGTCAATCTCGATTTATTAGTTTTTGAGATTCAATCACAAACAGATAAACATTCTAAGAGATAAGAATCATTATGTTAGGTTATAATATGAGGATAAAGTTATACAATGTGTGATCTTTAATGTAGAGACACAGATGAATAATATATATAAGTATATAAAAGAAAGTCGTGTTAGTTACACTATTTATAACTCAAGAACGGCTGTATTTAGATGGCTGGCTGGATTTAGCAGGAACTTTGTATAAGTTAAGGTTTGTGGCAGGTTTTGAATACGTTCAACCAAAAAAAATTGCTAATAATATCCAAAATCTATTTATTTACTGCCCCAAAATCGAAACAGTTCGTTTGGTAGGCTATGTATTGGTAATTATGAAACTCACGCGTACAAAGTTGGTACAAAATCTAGGATATATATCTATATGTATGTATGTATGTTTGTTACAGACCGGACGTCCCCTCACCAACCCGGACGGCAGTCTGTACCACTTCGACCCCGAGAACCCGCCGCTGTTATATGACAACACACACAAACAGACAGACAAGGTGATGATCATTATATATGTACATATATACTACACTTAAAGCTCTACATGAGATTAAGTAAAGTTTATATGAACTATTCGTTTAATTTTACATATTAAATGAGATACTAACATAAGAGTTTATTATTATACTTAATTGTTTTTAAAATTTATGAGTTTAATATATTCTGTTTTTTAAACGGCTTTTATTTTATAATCTTCCTTTCAGATCGACGTGAACACGGAGAAAAGACGCGGGAAATTGGAAAAACAGAATTCGTTCATAGATAATGGTGAGAAACAAATATGAATTAATAATAAACCAAATTAAAAATGTATTTGGAAATAGTATAAATTTACGTTTGTAATTTCATTAATGTTATTATTGTAATTTAGGCTTATCTTTTACATACTAAATTATTTTCAGAATGCGAATACGATACAAATCGTGAAAAGCGTTGTGACTGCACTCAAGATAACGATAAAGTAAGTTTTACTTCACGATATAAAGAGAAAAATATTAATTTATATTAAACTATGTAATTAAATTTCACAGGTACAGCAAAAACCAAAGACGCCCTCAATACCGCCGAGTCCGAATAAAACAAGAAAAACATATGAAGAACAAACAACAACACCGAATACACCCGAACCGAACGGAAATATACAAAACGAAGCCGTCGAAATAAAACAAGCGTTTGAAAACATTAAAATAACACAAAAATCACCGAACAAAGAAAAGAAAGATATTCAAATGGAAACCATCAATCAGATTCAGTCGAGATACGAATCAGCCAATCAGAACGCATCATTACCTAGATTCGAATCACCCGCCAATAATACGCCGTCAGTACAAAGATTCGAATCACCGGCCAATCAGACGGCGTCAAATCAATCGCAGAGATTTGAAACGGCCAATCAGATGCAGCAGATTCAAAGATTCGATTCGCCAGCCAATCACGTGCAGGCTATCCAAAGATTCGATTCCCCCGCGAATAACAGACAGTATGACAGATACGATGTTTGTAATAAGAGTTTGGAAAATAGGAATTTTGATAATCAAAGGAAGATTCTTGAAGAAGTTTATCATGAGACTTACGTGCCATATAAGAATGAGGAGGTAAGGTCGCGTTTACTTTAATACAAGTAATTATTCTTAAGGTATCTCAGATTATTACGAAAAATACGTGTTTCAGTGAAAATATACTTATTTAACTTGTATTCTCACAAGTATTTTTAGTATTTAATTCTAATGATATCTAAGATTTTCGAGAGTATTCGTTTAAATGAAGCTAATATGTTTATAATGTGCTATGCGATTTTTATTTTTATCAAAAACTATCTCGACGTTTCGGTTACTTTACAGCAACCGTGATCACGAACAGACGAGATGTTCCGTGATTAATAAATATGTTATAGCTGAGAGTTAAATAAAAAAAGACAGTTACAATCAAGATATTTTATGAAAAATAATAACAAATAAGAAATTAGTAAAGATATTTCACTATATTTAAACAGACAATTCATATATAAAATTACATTTCATATGTTCTTTATGTATGTATGTTTGTGACTTTCCCTAAAGATTATTCTCTAAAAACAACTGACATAGTTTACCAGATATATACATATATAGAGAAAAATCTTCATCCATATTAATTTAACATAGCCAGGTTTATAAAGCGATCAATAAAAAAATTACTTTATATAATACTTACTACTATACTTCTAAAAAAATATTTTATTAAAAATATTTTATTAAACCTCTTTTCCATTTCAAATAATAGCCATATATTATATTCATGAAACAACTAAAACTTAATATGGATTTATACATACATATATACTCAAACACTTAAATATTGGTCAATACATAATAATTGAAGTGTTTATCTTGTAATATAGTATATATATATGTATGTATTAATTATCAGTTTATATATTTAAAAAGAGTATATTTATAATATATATCACATATACATATTTTGGTTAAGTACTTTTTTCATGATAAACAGACTAAAACATTTACATCACTAGTGGAATTTAATCAATTTATACTGCGAAAGTTAATATATATTTTTATAAAATAATTTTGTATGAATTACCTAATTATGTTCAATATCATTATTTCTACCAAAAAAACGCACCTAGTGAAATCATAAAGAAATGTGGTCTTTGTATGTGAAAATAGTTAATTTGGTAAAATTGCAAGTAATAAAAAAGTATACCAATAAAAAACTAAATATTAGTATTAACCTTCATGACTTAAAATAAGTTAAAATAAAAAATAGCGAAATCAATAACTGCTAAAACTTTTGACGAGTTAATATTTACAATTAAGTTTAAATCATTAAACGTATTTTCTTAAATACGTAAATATAAATTTATATATAAAAAAATTCATGAAATATACAAAAATATTCCAATTCAAGCTAAAATAGGCTTTAACTCCTCAAAATAAAGTCGTATTTCATTACTCATATAGTCATGGAACTTTCTAGAAACATCTCGAAAGTTCGACAAATTCGCGCACGCGCAATACGGACACGTCTTATCAATATAAACACATGCGCAGTGAATACGGAACATTCTAATATCGACTTAATACATATTGTAATAAGAATCAATTTATCTACAGTCCGTACTACACTCTACAGGTGAACCGAACTATTTGTATAGACGAATTTAGTTCTAATATATTAGGTATTAAGGTCGATTTTATATGTATTGTGTAGTTGTATACAAGTCTATTGTATACGGAAGTGCATTCAACTATCGACCTAATTATTAGAGTCCTAGCACCGGGAATACCTTGAGCCAGTCCTTGCTTGACGCCTAGCGATAGATGTTATAAAAATATTATTATTCATAGTGATTGAAATTTAAATAACGGTTATTATTACGATTTTACGGTTTGTGAAGAATAAATAATTCGATATGTATATGGAGAATGTTAAAGAGGAAGTTATGGATGATGTTGAGGAAGGTGGAGAAGAATCGGTTGGTTGTTACTTATTGATGATCAAATGATTGAATGTGTATTAATATGTGTTTGTTTACCAGGCGCCACAGATGATGGTGAATTACCAACCGGAAATGACGGAGATGCAGGTGATGCAGGCAAAGATGACGCCAGTTCCGGTACAGGATAATATGCGTATGTATATATTATTAGCTATTTCTAGAAAAATATATATAGATTCTATACTCAAACTTGAGCATGAATAATTTTTCTCCGGAGTCAGAAACCATAATTTTTTTTTTAATTGTTTGATTCTATGAAAGCGACTGAGCATTGTTTTTGTTTATGTACGTCTATAAATGCGAATTATCATTAAAATAATTAATTAGAAAAGCAAATATCATTTTGTTGGATTTAAGAAGCAATGTATTAGAATTTCAATCTCTTTTAGACACTTTATGAGTAAAAACTAACTTTTTCCTTTGTTATATCTACCTTATATACAGGGTGACTGGTGAATTACTATCAATATTTAAGGAGCATACTCGGTACATGATTCTCATTCGAATTATGTAAAAAAAATAGGTACTTAATTTTTGACCAAATTTCCGTATAAATAAATAAAGTGTGTACACGTTCCAAGTTTCCTAGTGTGGACGCGTGCTGATACAACAACACGCCGCCGCGCGCGTATGTGTGAGTGTGTAGTGTAGAGTAATCTGTAGGGTGTTCATACGATGCGTAATTAATTACACAACTTTTGGTTAACTTTACTTAGAAGTTTATTAATATTTATGTTATATTAATTTTTATTTCGTCATATATGATCGTCAAATATCACGTCCTCAAATATCGATAGTAATTCACCAGTCACCCTGTATATTCCTAATAACTTTTTTATATATAAATATAAAATAACACTAATTTAAAAAATAAAACACAAATATTGCCATATTTCAATATTCCTATACATATGCTAAGACTAGATTAACCATAGTATATATATTTAATTCATTTTATATACTATTATATCTATTATATAGTATAGTAGAATATATATGTAACAATTTTCTAGGTGGAGTTGCCGTCCCCAATCACCCAGGGTATTACCAGCCGATGCAGAACTATCAGTACATGCCTTGCAGAGTTGTGAGTATTGAATATATATATGGAAACATGTTATTATATAAATACTATTAATTATTATAAAAGACTTATTATTTTGAGTTTATGGGTGGGTGTGGATCAGAAATTTCAAAGGTGTACTATGAACAATATTTGTATGTACTGAGATATTGACACACACACACACACACACACACACATGTATGTTTATCTGTTTCTAACTATGTGTTCAGTACATATAAATATTATAATTTTCATACAAAATTCTAAAGGAAACTAATAATTTTAGTACTATTAAACTATGTTATGTATTTATAATTTATCCAATCATAACAGCGATTTTAAATGCTACCTTCAATTAACAGCACTTAACAAGGGATATTATAAGCGGGCGTTTAAAAAACCGCTCCCAAAAAACGCTCAACCGCTAATACTTATAATATGTATATACAGGAGCAGCCGATACAACATCTGCAGCCACAGATGTACCAGCAGATGACTGAGGATCAGAAACAGATGACGCCCTCGCCTCACAACGAGAACACGTTTAGAATCGGTGAATATATATACAGACATACAGACATATATATAGGGTGACTGGTGAATTACAATCAATATTTAAGGAGAATACTCGGTACATGATTCTCATTCGAATTATGTAAAAAAAATAGGCACTTAATTTTTGACCAAATTTCCGTATAAATAAATAAAGCGTGGACACGTTCCAAGTGTTCCAAGTGTGGACGCGTGCGGCGGCGTGCTGATACAACACCACGCCGCCGCACGCGTGTGTGTGTGTATAATCTGTAGGGTGTTCACACGATGCGTAATTAATTACATAACTTTTGGTTAACTTTACTTAGAAGTTTATTAATATTTATGTTATATTAATTTTTATTTTGTCATATATGATCGTCAAATATCACGTCCTCAAGTATCGATAGTAATTCACCAGTCACCCTGTATATATATATGTTAACACTAGCTGCGCCCCGCGGTGTTACCCGCGGATTTCCGGGATGTAAAGTAGCCCATGTGTTGTTATACGTCAGCTTCCTGTGTATAAAATTTTATCAAAATCGCTTCAGCCGTTTGAGCGTGAAGAAGTAACAAACATACACACACGCATAAACTTTCGCAATTGTAATATTAGTAGGATTAAAGATATTAGTAGGATTATGACCGAAGACTTATATTCAGAAACGAATAGCCACAGAATGTATATTTAATACTATTTGGGTTCGAACCCGCTACATGACTTGTCGTTTCAGTCGCTTTACAAACTGAGCTACAGTGTACTAGCTCGAGTCTGTAAAATATTTTTAAGTGAGAAAATTTTTGGTAGAAATATTCTTAAACAATGTATAGACAATAATTGAAGATATAAAAAGAATATGTTTTCTGTCATATTAAATACAACTAAGGTTTTCGTATACAACGCTTTTTTAATATTTTATAACTACATAATTCCGAATATAGAAATTTTAAATATCACTCACAATTTACATACCCATAACATCTCAAGTTTAAAATAAATACACGCGAAAACCTCACATAATTTATTAATATTTACTTATTTTCCAATATAATTATAATATTTTTTTCAGATCCCAGCTATCCATATTTGACGGACTTTAATAATGCTTGTGGCGCCTGTGACCCGGCTCAAGCTAGAGGGTGTGTAATATTACGATTTTGTCTAAAAATACCTCTAATTTACTCTAAAAATGTCTAAAATTCACCCTAAAAATGTGTAGAATTTACCCTAAAATGTGTAAAATTTAGTTTACCCTAAAATTGTCTGCAACTTACCCTAAAAAAGTCCACAATTTACCATAAAAATGCTAACAATTTATGCTAAAAATGCCTCTAATTTTCCGTAATCATATCATATTTGGTCACTTTGTATTATACTAAATATAACTCAGAAGCTTCATTAATAATAATAATATATTATTATTACAACTAAGAATTTATCAAATTGTAACTATCTGAATAGGCACAAATACCGTTCTTTTTTAATTTTCTTTGTTATCTCTTTTTTAAATTTGACTATTCATTTTTCCTGAATATTTATGAATAATATCTTCCAATAAAAGAATCAAGCTGAACTAACATTATACAATCTTTTGTTGAGGTAACAATAACTTTTAGAATTAGAATCAAAAAATAAAAAATATTTTTTTAAGTGGAAGATACCAAAAATTCTTCCAGACCAATATACATACATACAAATGTACATTGCAAGATAAATAAAAGGTTTTAATAAGTAAAGTTTTAATAATAATAAAAATATATAATATTTTTCTATAGGAATTTTCAGAAATACATAAATAGTTTACTTCAAAATATCTTCATTTGTTATCAATTTAAATGAAATCTATCAAGATCTCTATATGTCACCATCATTATATTTATAATAATTTAACTAATATTTAATATATGTAATGTGTATATTTTCATCAGATACAACGTCCAGTACCAACCAGAGCCTGTCATGTACCCCAACATGTTGATGCAGCCGATGCAGCAGTATCCTGTAAGTAGCATTTCCAGGTGTTTATTATATACTACTACTACTTATAGGTCATACTAGCTTTCCGCCCGCAGCTTCGCTCGCATGGAGTTCGGTTATATCGCGTTTCCAAGAGAACCTTTCAAAAGTCTGGGATAAAAACTATCCTATGTTCTTCCTCAAGGTCAACTCTATCTCTGTACCAAATTTCATTAAAATTTCTTTAGTGGTGAGCGTGAAAGCGTAACAGACAGACAGAGTTACTTTCGTATTTATAATATTAGTAAGAATATGTAAATATCTTTATATATTTAAGATATTATTATGTGTATATAAATGCGAATTTTGTGAAGATTTTATGTTTGTATCTCTGATAGAAATAATGCTGAAGCGATTTTTATGTAACTTTACAATATTATAGATAGCAGAATAATATAAGCTGTACTCTAACATGAAATTCACATGTTAATATATGTATTGTTTTAACAGATTTTATATATTTCTAACTGACGTTAAAGCAAAAGAAATCGCTGGCATAGACTAGTTTATTTTACATAAGCATTTAAAATATATGAACAAAATATGTATATATTTTTTATTACAATAGAAAATTTGACAACACTAAGTATATCTATAACAAAATTCACAATCACAGTTCATTTATGCTAACACGTAGGAAGATGTGTTACAAAAAAACTTCTAAACTCTCAGTTTGTAGTTAAACAAAACTTGTGCTAATTATACTGACTTTATTGATATATTTTTTTGCTTAAGAAACATTCACATACATATATCTACATAGAATTGTATTAAATAAAATATTTGTTTCAGTACCAAGAACAAATGCAAGTACAATGGCAGAATGTAGCAGCCGTAGCTCCAAAAGTAGTGATGCACGACGTGTACCCGATAGTGTACCCCAGCGTGTACCCAAACGTGTACCCTCCATACAACATAGTGTACCCTCAGGTTAATAACATATATACTACTATAATATAACTAAATATATATATTATTGAATATTTTATACTTACAAAGATATAGTAGCTCTATATCAGTGGTTTCAATATTTATTATGTCTATTTTACTTTGAGAATAAATAATAATCTTGCCGCTCGCTATACCACTTTTATTTATTCTAGCAAAATAAAGTCCATCTATTACTAATTCTAAAATCTATGACAAAGTCATGAGTCAGAAGTATTGTATTATATATATATATTTTTTTTCCAGGTGTTACCACAATATCCCATGCAGCAGTTCCAGGACAGACGTAAGAAGAGATACGAGCGAGATACGGAGATAGCCATGAAGATACAACAGATTAAACAACAGGTTATACAACAGATTATATATATAAAATTGAAGTACATATTTAAGATTTTGCTATATATTAATAAATACTTTATATATTAATAAATAAATAAATACTGATTTTAAATAAAATGTTTATATATTTTCTAACAATGTTAATAGAATGAAAAAAATATAATAATATAATATTTGTATCATATATCAGTTTACTGAATGATAATAAATCTGTACAGAAACATTTCTCTGCAGACGAAATTGTCAAATGTTAGAATATTCTAGCAATTTTTTAATATTTTTCACTTCTTAACATTCTAAATGTCCCAAAAATACGTCATAATTCAACATTTTTTTAAATTGCAGTGTAACAGACAGACATTCATCATATACTTTATATTATAGGTGGATATGATGGGCGGAGACAGGAGGCGGAACAGTGGCGGCGGAATACTGGGGAATGCGCCGGGCAGAGTCGGGTGAGATACATATCTATATATACACAATAATAAGTATTATATACAGGGTGATGTGGTATACTTGGTCAGTATTGTTAAATATAATGTCAAGTAAAATGTAGATCGATTTTATTATATTAGCTCCTGTCATTCAGTCTTGCTATAACAATAATTTGCGCTACTCTCACAGACACTGCACTAGGTTCATAAACATCGCAAATTTTTTTCGCGGCTTGCGTTGCATTTTTACCTTTTTTGTAGTAAAATTTTAAAATGTATCGAATTTCTTCATTAGGTTCACTCATCTTGACAGTACGAAAAAATGAAAATCACATATTTGCCTAATTTGTATTTAATATTATGTTTTTTAAAATTTTAACTTTCAATGATACCAAAACCAGCCAGATACAAATACTACAGCCAAAGAGATTTTATAACAAGTTCATATACTATAATGCGAAAAGACTTTTTCCCCAACCTTTTATATATTATAATTTAATATAGTTTTATTGAATACTACTAGATTCAGTCTTATATATAGATATGACAAGCTTTTAGAGCTCTACCCACCATTCTTATTCAATGCATGTTATTATATACAGTCTTTATTAATTTAGCTCACCCTGCTACCCTCCTTATATATTCTATATCTATATTTAACAGATTATACAACTGTCAACTTGACGTTTATATTTTTTAATAATCATCCTTTCTGTCAGTACCAGGTCCGATGATAATCAGCTGAGTTCAGCGGCTCGAGCCATCGTCAATTCTATAAGGAACATGCAGGCTAAAAACCAATGTAAGATGATATACATATATTAATAAACATAAATACTCTTCTTCTATCTGGCAATTCCCCAGCTATAGCCAGGGTCTGCCTTACATGTTGGGAATAGTTTTGTCTAATTGTTTTTACATCAACCCCATAACCACAAATACTATTTCTGTTAATATCTTTATACATATATAATTCATGTGTCACATTGTTTGTTTGAGATATACTTAAAAATTTAATTGATTTTAAATTTAATTTGCAAACAGTGTGCAGTTTGATCCGTCTTAAAAGCTAACTAGCTTAATATATAGCTGTAATATTATTTTATTGCAAATTATTTGACATACACAATTATCTTAAATTAAGTTATAACAGTTGTATTGTGTATGACATATGACACAGAGTATAAATGTAGTTGACGGCACAATATCTATTGTTTAAACACTATACATTTCATTGTTCGACATGTTCACGCAGACGTAGTCGCGGGCAAAAACTAGTTTATATGTTAGCTACTTGATAAATTACAAATATGAAAATAAGTATAGCATACACACACATGTATGTATATATTTAATGAGTAATATGATTCAATGTGATTGAAGTCAGTGGTAGCCTAGTGGTTAAAAGACCCGCCTTTCATGCATGAGGGCGCGAATTCGATCCTGGCAAGTACCAATGTGATTTTTCCGAGTCATATTAAGATTATTTAGACATCACTGATTAATGCATTCCCAAAGAGGGTTGATGTCAGGCAGGCGGCCGGTCATAAAACAATTAGCCAAAACTATTCACAACATATAGGCAGACCCTGGCTTAAGCTGGGAAAATTGCCAGGTAGAAGAAAATGATTCAATATGATTGTATAATATCTTATTTGTTCTCATATAGTCCACGAGTCCCGACGCTCCCCTCCACGCCCTGAGCGACCTGAACAAAGGAGACGAACAGCGGGCCCGGTCTATAGACAGGTAGATATATATGTTACCCAGATTTCCGGGATGTATAGTAGCCTATGTGTTATTCCTGGACGTCAGCTTCCTGTATACAAAATTTTATCAAAATCGGTTCAGCCGTTTGAGCGTGAAGAAGTAACAAACATACACACATACTCACAAACTTTCGCAATTATAATATTAGTAGGATTACTCTATTATCAGACCTGTAGAGTATAGTATAATTGCTATGTGATTAAATGAATTATGAAGAAGCAGACAAATGTAATAATAGATAAATTAAAATGATAAAATTACATACTTAAAATAATTGATATTTAAAAATCTAAAAATATATACATACTACTACTGTTGTTGGGGTAGATTTTAATTTAGTTTAAATAACACTATGTAATATTATTAATATATATATATATTCATCTTCATAGTTCCATGTATTAATATATGTTTCTAATGTTCCAGATGTCCCCAGGCGCCTGGTGTCGCTCCCCAGCTCCGATGCCGCAAAGTTAGAATCATTATAATACATAGTTTAATGAAAATCGATTCAGCAAAAATATGACAGTTTTAACCAAGTACATTATGTTTTTGTATATATATTTGTTGTAGTCGAGAAATACCTGATTATATATGTATATACTAGTTTTTGCTCGCGACTTCGTCCGTGTTAATTTCTTAATTAGTAACATAACATATGTATAGATGACCGAACGAACTCTATTCCGCTCTAGAGGCCGTAAATAACCGTTTATTACAATTTATTAAGTTTTTTGGATTGAAGAGAATTTTATATCCTATGAGCTTCTACTATTCGCCAATAGATGTCAAAAAGAGTTAAATTTTAAACGCCTCCTCCTTGTTATTTTTTTTTTTAAAAATAACATTCCCAAAAATTATTCCTAGCTAGATCCATTTATCGTCCTCAAAACTCGCTATATGCTAAATTTCATGAAAATCGTTCGGATTCCGAGATTCTAATAAATAAATATATACAGGGTGACTGGTGAATTACTATCAATATTTAAGGAGAATACTTAATGTAAAAAAAATAGGTACTTAATTTTTGACCAAATTTCCGTATAAATAAATAAAGTGTGGACACGTTCCAAGTGTGGACGTGTGTGTGTGTGTGTGTGTGTGTGTGTATACCTAATCTGTAGGGTGTTCACACGATGCGTAATTAATTACATAACTTTTGGTTAACTTTACTTGGAAGTTTATTAATATTTATGATATATTAATTTTTATTTTGTCATATATGATCGTCAAATATCACGTCCTCAAATATCGATAGTAATTCACCAGTCACCCTGTATATACAAGAATTGCTCATTTAAATATATAATATAATATATATTGTATGTATGTTTCAGCCTTCAGCCAACCTCGCCGGCCCAACCCGGAAAACAGAAACGCTCGTCGTTAAACACATATCAATAACAAAACAAAAATATTTATTACATATTATATAATAAGTGTGTAACTATCAAAGTTTTCCTTTCATACATCGCGCACAATACATGATTATTTAATTTATATATCTGTCGAGTTTAAAAAACGTGCTTACCAAATACATGTGGCGTTTTAAACGCGGCGTTTCAAACGCCATGTGTGTAAACGATAGATCTCACGTTGAAATCGAACTAGTCATTTTTTTTATATCCATCTCTTAGATATAAATATATATTATTTGTTTAATTAATATCAACGTTGTTCGTATTATTGTGTTTAAAAAATGCTGTCCAAAATATTCTTTGTTCATAGATATCAGTCAATTGTAAAAATATCGGTATATACATATATAATACAATAATAAGAACAACTTGTCCCTTCGTCCCGGCCGACGCCATGACATAGATTAAGAATATAGATTATATAACTTAAAAAGAAAAAAACGCTTTATTAAAAAATATCGATACATCTTATTTTCGAGTCGTTTTCAGTCCGCGACAATAATAATTATTTTTAATATATATATAATTAGATTTTTTTTGTCATCATTATCGTGATTCCTACACTACAACACTATTGTAAATAAAAGCCGTCTATATATATAAGTTGATGGAAGTAAAAAAAAACATTTTATCTAGATATTAACTGGTATAGTTTTACTCCGCCATTTTTTCCGTGGCGTATTCTATTAGGGTCCATTATTGTGGCGTTAGAAAGTATTGGATGGTTGTTCATTAGATATTGAAGCTTATATTGGTGTTAGAGACTTTAATAGCTCGCGACTGGCGCCGGCCGAGCTGTCACCGCGACGTTGACAGCTGTCACGCGTCAGAGTGACACTGACAGCTGTCAGAGTGACAATGTCCCACATTAAGGAGATTTATTGATGTAGAGTATATAATTGTTAATAATAAAGATTTTAGCGTATACATCGTTGGTTTTATTTTACTTATTTTTATTAAAATTCGTTAAGATTAAAGATATGCCCCTGCTTCAATATAATGTATGCAGTTAATTAGAATTTAATTTTCTTTCATATTCAGACTATACCTGTTACCTTTCATGTTTTAAGTTATCAGTTTGAGAGGTCCTACACTGTCACTTTTTACCTCTATGTCCTATAAAATTATCTACTAGTGATCTACCTCTATCTAATCGCTAGGTCATTTCTTAATTGTTCTCTCTATAGTATATCTCTTAATAGTTGTCAGAACCAACTACCATTTCACACTTCGTGCTCGATAATGTTCACGTATCGTATTATACGATCAGTTCACAATTCAGTCTTGAATTGTCAATAATCATAGTATAGTATGTGGCTACTAGATAATTAGTGATAAAGGAACCTTTAAAAATATAATAGGTTTTTTGCCATGAAAAAATTTCATAAAACTTCGATTGAAGAATTATAAGTCTTCTTCTTGATAAAGATTATGTTATCAAGAAAAATAAAAACAAAACAAAAGTAAAATTGGCTTAAAGTATTGAATTATGAAGCTAAATTCTAGATGAACATTATTACGTCCTTTATTATGTACCATCTGACTCTAATTCTTCAATTTCCGCTGTATTTAAAGTTAAACCTGCTTCTGAATTTAATCTGTCCTGAGAAAACAGCTTCGGTTCCTCTACATCTTCGAGAACAAAAGTTGACCGTGGACCATAAATTCAATTTTGTCAATATTCTTTTCACGCTCATTTTTTACTACTGCCATCTAGTGACTTATATTGCTTTACTTACTTAGATAATAAAGTAAATGGTACCGAGATTGAACTATAGATGGCACTGTCAAGAATAAAAATTGTATCCAGATTTTTCTTATAAATATGTATATAACTTACATTTAGTATTCCAAGGGGTGGTTAATGTTTTAGTAAATAGAGCTTTATACTTATTGGGTTTTAGCTATTTTTAAAATTTAAATTAAATTAATTTATATATACGTCTTTAGATCTCTTGATTACAATATTAGAAACGAAACAGATTTCGTATAAAAATGTACTTAGAACCTTATTTCTTACTATAGTAACAGTTATGTATTTATTTCAATGTGAGGACATGGTTCTATTCATAGGGCTGAAATTTTAGGATTGATATATTTACATTCAAAATTGAAATATAACTTTAATCTGTAAAGTTTCAATACTTCAATCTCATATAAAAATAAGCAGCCATAAAATTATTCTAGTGAACTTTTTGCCGTTAAAAAAGAATTAATAGAGAGTTTTACCTACCAATAAAACTTACCTATTATTTTTCCTTAAGACATCCGGAATCCATCTTGAGTCAAGCACCTGTCTTTTTAGCCTTTTTTGTCCAGTTTTCGCTCCCTTCCGGTGCAACTTCAGCCCTCTAATGTCAATTTGGCGGGAGAAAACTTGCACATTTTAACAAATTGATATTTCTTACCTCATTATACATACTCGAGATGAACCAGGTAGAAATTACCTGGATTCCGGATGTCTTAAGGAAAAATAATAGGTAAGTTTTATTGGTAGGTAAAACTCTCTATTATTGTTCCATGTTGACATCCGGAATCCATCTTGAGTGACGTGTTTGTTATCACCTGTTCATAAATATTATGACGATGCTATAATGTGTCCAATAAAAATTAAATTATTGGAATAAAATAATTTATTTAAATAACAATTTGATTTAAGGAATCTATCAAAATAGCTTGACAGCCAAACTTTTGTGCTTTCCTGTGACCGATTTAATACAACTCTTTTAAAACCTCTTATAGGTAAAGGATCTTGCCCCCGTTTCTAGTTTCTTAATTTTATCTATTTGAAAGCATTCTACCTAGTTAAGGGAAGCTACTGAAGGTCTTACAGATCTGGGAGAAGCTTCAATACCAGCTTCTTTGTGTAAAGACTTAATCCAAACTCGACCATATTTGACGCTACTCTAGGTCCGCCCCTCGAGCTGTCAAAGATAATTTATTTAAAATTATTGACTTACTCTGCGCTTCCTTTGGATAAATCAACCAATCGGTAAACCCAGTATATTATATAATCAAGCGATGTAGTGTTTTTATTTATACAATAGATTTAACACACTAGTCTCATGTACCCCAATAGAGGGCGGCATTCGCCTGGCAGCCTCACGACCAGCGCGGAGCAGAACGGTGACGAGCGCCTGCACTTTAGGCGGGGATAGTAGTGAGCCAATGACTAGATATTCTTATATAGAGGAAGGGGGTCCTACAACGGGCTTGTAATGGGCTTTGTAAAATTTTCCTTCCTGACTGCCTGTAACTAATCAGTCTTAGATTCGGATCGTGGCCAAAATGTAAAGGGGTTACCCTTATCAATAAGTTTTTAATCTTCAATTGTTAATAAAGTGAGATAATGGACTTTACGTCCTGACGATAAAAGCTGCAGGATTGCTACTACAATGAGGAAGTCCCGGCTTCCCCCTGGGGTTAAGGTTAAGGTTAACGCGTAAGCTAGCTATGACCCTACCTGTAAATGTAGGCAGGTCATTCTGGAAGGCATTTGCAGCCCTGGTTTTGTGACAGAGTCGCCACTAGCGAGGCGGTGCCCAGGGACAGCAGGTCCCACATGGCTGGCCTCCTGCCAGCGGCAGAGGATTTCTATTAGCCACCGCAAACACTATAAATTGTTTACATTTACCAGATCTGTGCTGAAATATTGTAAACAATTTAAGAGTCCCAGATAGGTGATGTGGAACTCTTCTTTTTTGGGTTACTGAAATAACTTTAAGAATGTGTTTAACGAGAATATACACATAAAGTTAGATGCAAAATCTATATTTTAGGGAACTTTAGTAAAAGTAAGAATAAAAGATTCATGTACAACGACAGTTACAGACAGACAGCTAGATAGACAGATAGGTACAAGTAACAGGGTACGTTTTGTGAATATGGGTTTTTTTTAATCACTTACTCGTCTTAACCACTACAGACTCTATTTTATTTTATTTTTTCAAAACGTTGCTAGATAATGAAAGGGATTATCTCTTACTCGTTCAACCGTCACGTCATTTCCGTCCACCCGAAATTAGCCACGATACGCAAATGAAGATCCCGGACCTTCAGCTGGTGAATTTTACGTCAAGGTGTCTACTAAGACTTGACAAAGGTTGGGAATTTGTTAAGACTCTTGCAGAGATCAATGTAGTAGATCTTCTGCTCAAAGACTATTTTGCCATGTCGGAGCTTTTGTTATGAAGCGTCCTTTGGCATTGTTCAGGTATTATAGCCCCGAGGTTAGGAGGTGGAAATATCGAAGCAAGGTCGTAACTTCACTGACGACTGAAAGCGTTGTGGTAGGTAACTTTTCAATCCGCTATACTCAATGTCGCCCATTGTTTAACTACCGTGCTGACCCTTACGCAGATGAATCTATCTGATGTACCCTTACGCAGATGAATCTATCTGATGGAATATACTGTGCTAAGGCGGACATTGCATATTCCGAGCTTTAGATAACAATATCAACGGTCGGTCAGGTCAAGTTCAGAGCAATTTCCGCCCTGGTACTTCCTTCTTTGTTTATATACAATATTACTGTTCGATTGTCCGAGAAGAAAAGAATGTTGGCATCGTTTAATCAACTCTGTTCGTGGGCAAAAGCTTCTAGGTTAGCTTACGATTCCTTGTACTTGCCATGCCATGTTTTCTGGGCCTCAATCTCTCCTATAAGCGCTTCTCGGTCGACTGCTAAGGCACCGGCTGTTATGTAATGCATTTCCGAGCCCAAACGTATCGGCAGTGCAGCTAAAAAAGCTTTTAACCATCAATGTAACTTGAGAACCTGTGGTTCTGCAAGTATTTTGAGGTGATTTAAAGGGAGGGATACTGTCGCCTGTGGTATGCAGTGTACGACCGTATCTCCCTCTGCACACAACTAATGAGGCAAAGTTAAGTCTCCCCAAAAGGAGCTGGGCCTGTTCGGGGAGCCAACTGCCTTGGCCAATCTGATGCTGAAGTGAAGCGCATGCGTAGGGCG